CATACAAATTGTTCAATACCAATCTAGAAAACTCAAGAAAATTGAAACAAATCACAAATTATCCATAAACAACATGATTAATTGAAAGCTTCTTCCTCCTTGTCAATTAAGCTTCTTCACTCTCCACTCGATAATATCAACATCATTTTACACAATTAGAAAGAAAAAATTAGACGTGTCTCCACAAACATAAAGAAGATTAATTGCTTATAATATAAAATATATCGGGAAAATTAATTATATAGGTGCGGGCGGGTATCCATGGGGCGGGTATACCTAAACTCAAAAATCAACCTAACCTGATGAATAGTGAACAGGTTTAAACCCGAACCGGCTCAAAATCCGTCAACACAGGTTTTACCCCCGTTGACCGGGTTGGGTAGGGTACCCGTGGTTTCGGGTTTTGTTGCCATCCCTATGCATAACCATAGGTCATGCACCCATCAATAACTAAACCTGGACCCTTTATTCAGAAAATGCCGATCTAAGGATCGAGAATTAAAGACCTTTTTATTTTTTCCTTGTTTTCTTAATCGGTTCATATCTTCTTTGTTTTAACTTGGATTTCAATTTTTTTTTGGTCTTGTATTTTGTTGACCCAGAAATTTGTAGTTCCAATAAATCATGATGAACTCGTTCCTTCTGTGCAAAACGAATTAAAATTGAATGATAAGTTATATTTTGATGAAAAAATTAAACAAACATACGCATAAACAATAATGTTTTTTCCGATTAAACAAAATTTATGGTAAAGAGAGTCAATAAACATTTGACATTCAATTACCTATGAAAAATAAACTATATTACTTTATATTTTGTTGCAATGAAAGACTCTCTTATTCGTAAATTATATGAATAAAATAAAATAATTATTATTTAGCAAAATGTTAGAGTATAATCTTGATCGAGTAGTTATAGTTATTTATTTAAAAAGACTTCTTATTCCTCAGATCATGTTCTACCTTAAACTCCTCAAATGAAGAAAAATCGCATGTGCAATAATTTTATAATATATCCTAAGTTCACATTAATAATATTTGTTCTATATCATGTTGATTGAGCAAGCTCTATTGAGGTCCTAAGTCGTATGCTAAGAAATTTATTTCAGACTTGAGTTATTGTCAACGATTATAAATTAAAATTTTCAAAATGACTTAAGTATGATTTTTGACGAACTTTGACTTCATACCCTAGGATGAGACACACGATTTCTTGAAAAATAACATAAAGGAAGGTTAGAGAATCTTTGTTGAGAATCTACGATAAACATCGCGTTTCATCAATTACTAACCTAGACATTTACCAAATAAAGGTTGACAATTTTTAGTAAGATAGTCAATTGGGATAAACATATTTATCCAACAATCAAGTATCTTTATCCAATAATCTCAACTCTCAAAATTGGTTGCCAGTTCGTCCAAACTCGAGAAACACGAATTGATATATGTTGTATAGATAATAAGTTAATGCAAATAATCAAATGAAATCTATCGATATTTTTCAAATGATAAGACATTTTAAATGCACTTGAAATATGTGTATTGTAGACACTCTTTATCAAATATTAATATATAAGTGATAAAATCTTTGAGAATTACACATTCAACGACCACGTTAAGACCAAAATCCTCGATAGTGTGTGCGAGTGTCTTACATTGAGAGTCTAAGCCAACATATAAACAATGACCACGGGTTGAAGTTTCATCTAAATTTCAAAAATTAACAATTGATACATATTGTATAATATACTAAAATTAAGTGTCTTGATAAAAAAAAACTAACATCCAAAATGGAAATGAGTCAAGATTATAGAATTTAATCATCACGAGGGCTACGGTGTGTGTCAAGTTTCAATATGGATGAATAAATTGATCCAATAATGAAATATATTTACTAAGAATTTCTCACTAAAAAGTCCTAATCTTTACAACATTGGTTGAGAGTTCGTCCAAACTTGAGGATCATGAATGTGTATTGGATTTCCAAAGGACATAAAATCTCAATTCCTTTCAGGGACTAAATACCTCTGATCACAACCATAGGTGCCAAAGAAGAATGAAAAGAAGCCCAACAAAATAAAAAAAGAACATAACCTCCGAGGCCGTGTATCGAAAAGCTGCCACCCAGTATAATGTACCAACGCCTGAATTTGACGAAAGCGATATGATGACAGAATCAAACCATATCGAGCTATGATCCAGTCATCTCTACCCTTTTATTCTCCATAAAGGGGGTCGCGGGAGAGGATAAGAAATAAATAGCAGGATCCTAGGATTTGCCTATTTATATTTTACATATCAAACGATAGACAACCCCAATGGTTGTCTGACGTTATGAGGGTAAAAGCGGGATCTCTATCCCAAGGGTGGGGGATAGGCAAGTAGCACTTTTAATATGAGTATTAGGCGAGATAAGATAGGTTTAGCAAAGTATCTGGATAATTTTGAGTCTACTATATATATGCATATATATAATATCAAGGTATACTATCTTTTGATTTTACTCAAGATACGATAGAAGATAGGTATGAAAAAGTATTTGCATAAATTAGAGGTTAGAGAATTAGGGATTGGAGTTCACCTATTAGAGGTTAGGGTATAATATCATGCCCCAAAAAACTCCGGAGTCTAAATAGTAAAACTCAATGGTCGTATGGTAGTGTGAACGCAAGAGTATAGCGTACTCCTGGCGCACGCTAGGTTGAACTATATATATATATATGTGTGTGTGTGTGTGTGTGGTTCAGGTTGGCATACGCTAAATATTAGTGTTTTGGTTGACAAATTTTGACATAAGTTCTAAATGGGACGTGACAGCGACATAATTTATGATTAGAAAACCAAAACATCAGAAGTGAGTTTGCTAAATATTGAAAATTTCCAATATAGACATACTACAAACTCTTTTATGAATCAATAACATAAATTATTTAGAAGATCCAAAATGATTTAAACATATAAATAAATAAATTAATATAAATTATGAAATAAATCTCTCCGGCCAACGAGCCGGACAAAAAGCTAGTTAATAATGGAGAGTAATAGTAACTCTCATAAACTTTTAAGAGTTAAGAGTTTTTTTATAGAGTGGAAGTACAAACAACTTCCACCAGTTTAAGTTAAGCGTCTTAAGTAAAGTAATAGAGTGCTATAGATTTTAAACATATGGGCGTGGACTGACCTTAACTCACTCACCAATCTGAAGAGGAAGAGCTAGAGGAGCAGTTAGAGAGACGGTTCGAGGGAAAACAACTAGAGGATGACGGTACGAGCATCACAGAGGATATATAGTCAAGGTTATCATTAAGCAGCAGCATTTGAGATTAATTAGTTATTATACTTTATGATTATGAGTATAGAATGGAGATTCGGATTTTATGATTGAGGTTCGCCCAAGTGTTAGGGCCTTGCTTTAAGAAATTACAGTTTATTCTCGGTATTTGTTAAAGTTTTTTTTATAAAAAGTTTTCGCCCTTTTCCCAAGTATTTTCAGTTCTTATTTGTTTCACAGTTTATTAAGGGTATTTTGGTAAAATTAGTACCCGACCGAGTTAGGGTGTTACATTATTTTTCTTGCTCTAGAGGTTTATGAGTGGTTAACCTCTCATGAGACTCTCTTAGTTCTATCTCCCTTGCAAGATGGCGCAAGGTACGATTGATGTTGTGGTCAGTCATGTGCAAGTCTCTAAGATTTCTCCGGGTCATACACCTATATCACAAATAAACAATCCCATTGATCCACAATGAAGAGTTAGGAAATTTCTCTAATCAACCTAATTGGAGTTCTCTACCTTAGGCTAATAGAGCACTTCTACTATGCTTTAAAGTATTGGTGTTTTAAAGTACAACTTGAAGTTGTACCATAACATTAAAAGTACAAATTGAAGTTGTACCATAAGAGAATTTAAACTTTATGTTATGGTACAACGTGAAGTTGTAAAGTTGTACCATAACATAAAAGTACAACTTTAGTTTATCCATAAAGAAATTTTACAAAAAAGTATAGGTACAAGCCGAAGTTGTACCGTACAACTTGATAAAGGCAAAAACTAAAGCACCAATGCTTTAAAGCATTGTAAAATTCCTTTAGGCTAATAGCAATAATTGGAGGATTTGATCAATACCCAAACCAATTCCACGAAACACCTCAAGATTTCAAACAAGCAAGGAAATCATTCATTCACACATATATCTAGAGTTCTACAACATCCAAGTGATTAGGGGTTTAGCTCATAGTGAGAAAAAGTGAGACAAACATAAAATCAAGAGAAGAAAACATCATTGGGGAGTGGGTTCTTGCTCTTCAAACGCCGACCCTTGATGATGGGATTAGCCTCCAATGATTATTGAAGCTCCAATTCACCATCTAGGGATCTCCTTCTTGACTTTCTCTATCTCCAATTTTGGCTCCCTTTCGTCCGACTCTCGCTCCTTTTGCCAATTTCACCTGCTAGGACATGAAATACACTCAACTATGCATAAAAAGGCCTCAAGGACGATGAATCAAAAGTCAAATGATCGAGGAAAGGGGGTTCAAATGTGTATAATTAAACCCAAATCAATATATATATATATATATACTCGTTTATAGACTGATGCACTTCACGTTTTTTGTCTGCATTAGTTGCTAGTTTGATAGTTGTATAGGTTGCAAACCCTAGAGGTTCTAAAGATTATGTATTAGTTGATTCTTAATATAAATATAGTATGATTGTCATCTCGTTATGTTTATTGCTTTAGATTATATTTTAATATGTGTTCGTGTGGATATATTGTAATAAAGAAGTCCACATGGTTCATTGCATACCAAAAGCAATACACAGGTTAGTAGCCAATATATGCGAAAGAGTAACCATGACAAGCATGACTTGTTGACCAACCCACGTGTCACCCGACATCCACCGATAGATGGTAGGATATTTAAGCATAATGAGTGGAGGAATCAGTGTGAATTCCTTTAATAAGCTATATATATCATATATGTTGCATATCCTTCTTATACGCGTCTGAGGAAATTCTTGGAGGAGGTTTGCATATACAACGCCTCCCTTTACCGTCTTTCCTCTTTCACATTCTTGTATTTCATTCTCTGCGCCTTTTCCTTTACAAAAATGTTTAACAAAGCTCGACGCACCTCAAACTCAAAATTTCAAACGAGAAAAAGAACCTTATGAGATGAGTTGTGAGATTAGAAAGGTGTTATGGGATTACAATCTTGGTTAACTAGTAGGTAGATTTGACCCCTTTATCTATAATAGATAATTTTTCCATCCGTCACTTGAACTATCTCAAATGCAAGTTGTTTCATATCAGATCATACACTTAATTACCTATCAATTTGATTATCACATTATTTATGGATATTGACATAGGAGTTTAACATTTAGTGATGAAGACATTGTCTATAACAAACCTTATTATAATAGCCTTATAAGACATGTCTAATTGGCTATAATAGATTTGGGAACGAATAATGAGTCCTCGTGAGTTGTATTAAGCATAATCTATAATTTGGTAAATGTTTGATGCTTTTGCCATATTTTATATGAGACTTGATATTACCTCATACAAGCGCACATTATAACTAATAATACATTTCTCCAATCGTGCTAAATTGGCCTGATTCAACCATTGACCTTTTACTCACCTATTCGACAACCTTGACCATGGATGAGAAAACTTCGAAATTCTTGCATTTGTGCATGAAGCCCACGTGTAGCCCCCGAAGGTCGCCACGTGTGAAATAATCCATCTCAGTTGAACACACACGCTACTATAACATAGCCGGCTCCTGATCTGAGAAGTGTTTCTGTTAACTAAGAAAAGGTAAAAAAGGACTTAACTGCTAGGAAAAAAAAACCCAGAAGCAACCGAACAGATCGAGCGCAGAACAGGGAAGGGTAAATTGACGAAATCAATGGCGTCGTCGGACCTCCGCCCAGCATTTGCTTACACGGTGGTGTACGTCAGGGACGTTGCCAAATCCGTTGATTTCTACGCCAAAGCTTTCGGTTACCATGTTCGCCTCCTCGACGATTCTCACAGGTTACGTACCCATCTGACTAATTGCTTTCGTCATCCACCGATGGCACCAGGAAATGATCTCTCTTTCATTGTCTTTTTTGTGTGCACGATGTCAGTGCCGACAACAACTTTGAGTTTTATGCATGTGAAGAGATCTTCTCCTAGATTTGTTAATTTTATTGATGTTGTGAGGTGATCAGATGGGGAGAGCTGGAGAGCGGGCAGACGACGATCGCTTTCACTCCGATCCACCAGCACGAGACCGACGAAAGAACCGGACAAGTCCGTACCCCAAAGTCCGGCGACGAGCGGCCTCCAATGGAGGTCTGCTTCGCCTATGCTGATGTCGATGCTGCCTACAAGGTTGTCGTTGTCCCCCTTGGCCTCTTGATCTTCATCCCAGCCGTGTGTTCTGTTTTTTTTTTTTTTTTTTTTTTTGTTGATTGATGTTTTTGGCCATCTCCGGTTTGCAGAGGGCGGTGGAGAACGGAGCTACGGCAGTGAGCCCGCCGGAGGACAAGGAGTGGGCGCAGAGGGTTGGGTACGTCCGTGATATCGATGGGAACGTGGTCAGAATGGGGAGCTACGTCGCCAAACAGGCGAAATGATGTCGCCAGAGAGGCTAAGGGCATGTTCACTTTCATTTCCGTTCGCAAACGAGAAAACCTGTGTACTTTTCTTTCTGTTCGTCTATTTCCTGCATTAAGTTGTCATAAACTGGGTAGATATGTGCTCCAATCTCTGTTCATTGATGAACTCTGTTTACTTCCCTTTCTCTGGACAGTTCAATGATCAAACATACACAGAACCAGATCAGTCAATGTGTAGATATATATGAGGGAAAATGGAAGAGCAATTCCAGAGTCTGGGACATGGGTGTCCGTATTGGAAAAGTATCCAAAATGCAGAGAAAAAAGTCGACTTCTTTCGAGTTTATAAAACCCCACTCCGATCCCCCATTGCAAAAACCGTAACAAGCAACACAAAAAACACAAAGATTAAAGGGGAGCTGAGAATTCCAGTGGCATTCTACGCAAGGATAACAGATAAGGCAGACAATACGATCCAATTTCCTTCCTGGCCACTCGTGTCCTTCCCACCCACCCAACCACGAAACCCAAAATGAATCAAGACAATTTTTTCTTCTTCTTCTTCTTGGTACACAGCAGAGAAGATCTTCTTCACTGGACGAACGATCAAAACATTTCTTGTGATTTTCTAACGCAGCGGCTCACTTTCTTCCTGAATTCGTCTCTCGTCTCCCTCCATTCTTTCTGCATAAAATGAGATCACCAGGTCAGGATATCATATCTGCAACAATCCCGAATGTCTTAACATGCAGAAACTATAACTGCAGTTAAAGCAGTTGCAACACACTCCTGGCTCAAAGTTTTATCTTGGCAGCACTACATCATCAAAATGGCGTAAAATCACATAGTGCATACACAGGAGCTACCACACTCCAGTCATACTATGTCCAGGGATCTACAAGCCTCTAACATTTGCAGGACGGCACAAAGACGGGCAGCAACCATATGTGCATACCCTATGCCAGAAACGGGAAAGGAAGCGAGACTGATTAACGATTTGACCAATGAGAACAATACAAACATTTCCAAGGATGCATCTAAATAACTAGATTCCGTGATAGCACGGGTAGAGTTGTGCCCCAAAATGCATTCTTAAGATGTACAAAACTTAATGAGCCAAGAGTCGGCGAATCCAATTTTAAAACTTAAAAAGGTTCTGCCTCCTGAAAGATAATTCAATATCATTCGCTTGAAGTGCATTATGAACCCCGCAAAAATCTCGATTTGAAGGTAGGAGCATTGACATCATAATGTCAGAAAAGAAATGGCAAAACATGACAAGCTTCATCAAGAATACACATAGGGACAGCCAACTATGACTTACCGCTGCTTCAACATTGGCAGGAGACTCGTCGTTAGGACTTGACAGCATAGATATAATACTCAACACGATACTTTCAACCTGACAGAAAACAACAGAAAATCCAACAGCGATCAAGTAGAAAAACAGAAAGATACAAAAACATGGCAGTCCCCAGAACAGATTCCATCTAAGCTGTTCCACTAAAATGACTCAAGGGAAGACATCAGTAGAACTACGACCCTTGGAACACTTCTTACAATGCACACACAAAACAAATGGTCACCAATATTCTCCTCTTCATTACAAAGTAGGAACATAAACACTCCTCTTTATTACAAAACCAGGCATGGCAGTCTCAGCTTTCATCTTTCCTGTGTCTGTGAGGCGCGAGAATTCCTTACATTCATCTAGAAACACCCCCCTGAACAGTGCATTGCCCACAACAGCGAGCATTTTCCTATTTCTTGTCTATTCATCTTACTTCTTAGCTTTTCATTGAAGTTCCTTTCCAAAACCAGAGCAAAAAGATATCACTCATTGCAAAAGCACCTTTACATACCGTATGGACAGGCATCCAGCGTTCACTTGCAAGCTCATAACCATTGGGATCATCACCAGGTGGATGAAGAATCGATATGCACACACGCCCATCGGTGTAAACTGCCATTTATGCAACCAATTGAACTTTATTTGACATGCTACAAACTCACAAAAGCTAGCGATACATGTATAACAAGTACCAACCATTAGGATGCCATAGCTCAGAAGTGAACTTCACTGTTGGAGGGCTGTTTGGATAATTGGAAGGGAAGCTCATGATGGCATTAAAGAATCCCCCTTCACTGCAATAGAAGGAGTAAGTAATAAGTTAAACATCACATAAGCAAATATCATCAGGAAGCACATGATGTAAGCAAGTAAAAACCAAACAAAACAATCAGTTTGCCAAATGAAAAAGCTTCAGTAGCTAGTGAAACGAATCCAAAAGAATCAAGACAAAGGTCAGGAAGTTGGTTTACAAGACAAGATAATAAAACTTATAAACACGGCAACAAGGCAGCAGTCTTGAAAGAATTCTATTGCCATTCAAGAATTCACCAAGCGGGCAGTAACTATAGCAAGTACAGATAACCACGGAACAAATAAGACCTAGTTAAAAACATAACCAAATTTTAGGATCCAAAAGAAGGGCAGCAGTGAATTGAACTGCCAGATGATTAAACCAAAAGATTAATCCCACAACACACAATAATCGGTAAAAGAGACGAAGCAATTCCTGATTAAGCCAAAACCCTAAAACGAATCCCCAAAAACAAAAAGAATCTCCCAATTCAATCTAGACACCCTGAATCCTCTCAATCACAGGAAAGGGAACAAAATACAGAAACTTTAATGGAAGAGAGACGTACTAAAGCGTATCCGGCGGCCCAATAATTGTAACACTCCATTCGAATATGTTTTTCTCATCGACCAGCCCCGCCGAGAACCCATCCACGGGGTTCTTGCAAAGATCTGCACCGAACAGAGCACGATCAATAGATTGCCGATCCAAATCCAGCTCGAGAACAAGCTCTCAGCACAGAAATTTCCAAACAGGGCAAAAAGTAAAGAAAATTGAACAGCTTTATTGAGTTACCTTTAAGCTGTTTTTGGAGGAGGAGGCTCGCTTGAGACGACGACATGCTAGGGACTTCGGATAGCTTGGAAGAGAGGAGAGAGACAGGGAGAAAGGGCAGAGTTGAGTCGGGGAGGCGGAGAAATAATACGGAAAACGTTCTAGAGAGAGAGAGAGAGAGGGTTGGGGTTTTCTAGCTTTTCTGTTCGTAAATGAAAAACTTTCTCAATAGAGAGGAGAGGCTTTTGACGCAGCGAAAATTCGCCAAAGGCACAATTTTGGGGAAAAATAAAATCTAATCTCTCTCTGCGAATTGGTTCGGCCCTCAACAAGTAATATGCAAATTGTCTTCTTTTGTTGTGTAGGGAAATTATTTATTTATACATAAGAGTTAGAGGAATGGCAAAGGGATTATACTTCCTACGAAGAAACGGAATACAAGAGAAATTCTTCTTAATCCAGAAGCGGCTAATCATTTTATAACAAATAATACAACACATATTTTGGGAACCGATTGTCAATAACCATAATTAGAGGTGACAAATGGATTGGATTGGTGGATCTATGGATTGGATCAAGTGGATTGGTGGATTATCCATGAATCCAAATAATATCCTCAACCAAGAATCAATATGTAAAATGTGAGAAGTTTAGGTACTAAAATGTCATAATAAAAATTTTTAGGTACCAGAACGTAATTTTCCAATGATATATTTCATATAAAAATAAAATTTTAGGTACCAAAATGTAAAAAATAAATTTTATAGGTACTAAATTGTAATTTGCCAATGATTCATGGATCCAATCCATGAATCCACCAATCCAATTGGATTTGGATCAAATGAATTGGATTAAAAATGTCACCTCTAACCATAATCCAACCGAAATCCATTACATCAGTCCCCTCTCTTTTCTGTAAAGCCTTTAATATTTAATAGACGATTTCTCACTCATTTTAAGTTGCAATTCATTTTTTTTTTCACAAATAAATAAGATTATTTGTGTTTTTCAAAATGATATCCACTATGATTTTTTTTTCAAACGAAAAAAATTGAGCATTTTTTACCAGTCTATATCATGGTGGTATTGATTGGTATTAAAATAAGAGCATACCATATGATATGAAAACATACCATGGTGGTATAAACATACTACATAGTAGGATAATTGAATACATTATTGTAGGAGTATACCAACTGTCATTTACGAATTTCAACATTGTGTAACACAAAATACCACCCCCTATACCAGGGTGGTATTGTATGGTATTTTTTTGTCCTGTATTTTGTTCACCAATGAATTTGTATATCTAATAGATCATGGTGAACTCGTTCCTTCTGTGCAAAAATTGTCAAAACACGACTTAAAAATAAAAAGATACCATATGGTATGGAGTTGGTAACGAAAGGTATGAAATTTTTTTCCTTAAAAAATAATGAAAATGGATCTCATTTTGTAGAGCACAGCGAACTCGTTCCATCTGTGCAAAAAAAAATTGAAATCCAAGTTAGAACGAAGAGATATGATCTGATTAAGAAAAATAGTGGAAATAAAATGGGTTAATTGCATGGTTGGTCACTGAGATTACAAAAAACGTTCAAGTTTGGTCACGCGAAATATTTAAATCTATTGGTGGTACTTCAGTTTACTGAAACCATTCACGTTTGGTCACTCTCTGTCCAACCCGTTAACTTTGGCTGATGTTGTAGTCAACTCTCAAAGTTGACCGTTAATTTAGTGATGTGACAATTTATAAATAATAAATAAAATAAAATATAATCTATTTTAATGTCCAACTCATTTTATCATAAAATAAATAAATAAAATTATTATAATTATCAAATTGAAAGGGGACCGACTCCGACCCCGATCTCCCTTCCATCCTCCTCTACTCCCACACCGACGTCGTCCCCGCCGAACCTTGGGACCACCCTCCTTTCTCCGCCCACCTCGATCGGTCGCATCTTCGCTAGAGGCTCGCAGGACATGTAATGCGTCGGGATGCAGTACATCGAATTCGTCCGCCACCTCAAGGCTTCTGGCTATAGATGAAGAAATTGGCGGCTACGATGGCGCCGAAAAGTTCACCTATTCCGATGTCTTCGACGCATTGAACATCAGCGTCATCCTCGACGAAGGTAATCCAACTATCTTACTTACCTATTGCTAGAGTGGAGTCTTGTTTTTTCGTTATTCTGATAGAAAAAGATGAAAATCAGGGCTGGCATCACCCGGTGACAGTTGCAGACTGTTCTACGCTGAAAAGAGCCCCTGGTGGCTGGTGATTAAGGCCATCGGAGCTCCCGGCCATGGACCTAAGCTTTATGAAAACAGTGTCGTGGAGAATCTGTTCAAGAGCATCAAGTCAATTAGGAGATTTAGGGCATCTCAATTTGATTTGGTGAAAGCTGGATTGAGAGCTGAAGGGGAGGTCATTTCGATTAACATGCCCTTCCTTAAGGCTGACACTCCTTCTCCAACTGCGTTGGGCACTCAAGCTGAATGAGTTATGGGCTCATCATTACTACCCCCTGAAAAAACGGCCTTGTCCTCAAGACCGAGCTCAATGAAGCAATCATAGAAAACCCATTGAATGTTCCAGGTAGCATCATCGACGGGAAAAGGCTACTCGTGACCCGATTCCATCCTTCACACAAACAAGTTTGCTCGTCTTTTCCATAAGTTGACACGAGCACCTTAATCAAGTTGTTGAATCTGTTTCTTCCATCCCTTGCTTGGGGTCTCAGCTTCTCCATTGGAAGTAGATTCTCGTCTTTGCATATTTGAATCATCTTTTCCAAACCATTGAAATTAGCCTGGCGATCTGCCTGCCATGAAAGCCCCAACTATGCATATTTCAGCTTCTTACTTTCAAAGATTTGACTTTCGGCCAACACAGCAGCATGTGGATCTTCATCTCTTTTCTCCCCTCCAACTTCAGTAGCGAGCTTCATGGCCTCTTTCTTACTCTTTTCCAGCTTGGCCCTCTTTTCAACCCATGTCAACCTTGCCAAGCCCATATTCTTTCGGCCATCCACCATTTCATTCTCGAGCTCTCCACCTTCAGCCTTCTTCCCCAATAAAGTTCTATAATATTGCCTTCCATCCAAAGATTTGACCGTAAGTGCATCAATGCATTCAACTTCAACTCTCTTGCCTTCGGACTTAGTATTATTCTTCATTATCTTCCACCAATAGAGAATAAAATTTGAACCCCTAGTTTAAAGTGGGGCAAGAAAGGTCTAGATATAAGGGTTGGTAATTAATTTTTTTTTTAATTTTTCCTAGTTTTCTTAATCGACTCTTATCTTCTTCATTGTAACTTGGATTTTCAAATTTTTTAGACAGATGGGACGAGTATATTTCGAAAAAAAATTCATACCACTCGTTACCAATTAAAAGAGTTCTCCTACGGCAGCAAGCTTCTGTTGAAATGGGCTAGCTACTCCATGTAGTTGCAGTAGCAATGTTGGGCTGCGTTGGGCACTCGAGCGGAATGAGTTATGGGGTCATTAACAATGATAAGGGCTGAAATTGTATGAATGAATGGATCCACTTTCTTGGCGGGATTGAGCCAGTTCTCTCTTTTCTTGGCGAGAGGTTACTAGGGGTTTCTTGGCTAAAATTCTGCTTACCATTATTCATTTCCTTCTCAACCTAAATACACCAACGTTTTTGAAATATAAAGCCTAACTTTGTGGAACTAACCCCACGTTCATCTAACTATGAACTCCTAAACTAACTCCACTAATTGTGCAAACAATCCAAAAGAATTTAACAACTAATGCAGACTCACTCAACTAACAACAATATTCAATTAAAAGAGTTCTCCTACGACAACAAGCTTATGTTGAAATGGGCTAGCTACTCCATGTAGCTGCAGTAGCAATGTCGGGCTGCGTTGGGCACTCAAGCTGAATGAGTTATGGGCTCATCATTACCACCCCTTGAAAAAATGGCCTTGTCCTCAAGACCGAGCTCAATGAAGCAATCATAGAAAACCCATTGAATGTTCCAGGTAGCATCATCGACGGGAAAAGGCTACTCGTGACCCGATTCCATCCTTCACACAAACAAGTTTGCTCGTCTTTTCCATAAGTTGACACAAGCACCTTAATCAAGTTGCTGAATCTGTTTTTTTCCATCCCTTGCTTGGGGTCTCAGCTTCTCCATTGGAAGTAGATTCTCGTCTTTGCATATTTGAATCATCGTTTCCAAACCATTGGAAGTAAATTCTCGTCTTTGCATATTTCAGCTTCTTACTTTCAAAGATTTGACTTTCGGCCAACACAGCAGCATGTGGATCTTCATCTCTTTTCTCCCCTCCAACTTCAGTAGCGAGCTTCATGGCCTCTTTCTTACTCTTTTCCAGCTTGGCCCTCTTTTCAACCCATGTTAACCTTGCCAAGCCCATATTCTTTCGGCCATCCACCATTTCATTCTCGAGCTCTCCACCTTCAGCCTTCTTATTGCCTTCCGTCCAAAGATTTGACCGTAAGTGCATCAATGCATTCAACTTCAACTCTCTTGCCTTCGGCCTTAGTATTCTTCTTCATTCTCTTCCACCAATAGAGAAAATCCCTATCAACGCAAAATTGCCCTGAAGTGGATGAAAATAGTAGGTTGCCTGTATATGCGCAGCGGAAATATGCCATTAAAGAATTTTGGGTGATTTGAGTCCCCTGTATTTGTAGCGGATGGTTGTTAACCCACAAAGACTGCGACTTCCCTTCCCGTTGATGCTTTACTGCGAGGCCTGGCGAAGCAGGGGCATGCTTGGCTGTTGATGCAAGTGGTGGCTCCAGCTCAATGTCGACCCATGGCGGTTCTGGTGTGCGCACAAGGGGGTTGGTCGGTGACGCGATGGACGACAGTGGATCTAAGGTGGGAGCAATGAGAAATGGATCCACCTTCATGGCAACAAAGGTTTTGACCTCTGACGACGGTTTTGGTTTGAAGACACTCGTCGGCACGGCAGGAGGGACATACAACATCGGCGGTGCGACCTCAACGGCTTCAGCGTCTTCTTGCTTGTCCTCTATCGACTCTGATAGAGCTTCACCTTGC